TGTGTGTGTGTGTGTGTGTATATATATATATATATATATATATAATATATGTGTGTGTGTATATATATATACACACACACACACACACTGTCAGACTAACATCTGTAAGTCGTCTTTCATTTTTTTTTATCATCCTGGTACATTGCTTTTGATGTGAACACAACTTTTATGAGCCACTTCTCCTCCCTGTCCCATTATCTTGTGCCTCAGGCTCCAACTACTACGTAAGGATCCTGAGCACCATTGACCGGGAGCTACTGAAGCCCAATGCATCAGTGGCGCTGCACAAGCACAGCAATGCCCTGGTGGACGTCCTGCCCCCAGAGGCTGACAGCAGCATCATGATGCTGACCTCAGGTTTGCTTTCTGGTTCTCTCCTATTGGATTTTATTTGTATGAAGCTGAATTTGGAATATGTGGAAAATATAGTTTTGAAGTTACTGTAGAAGAACCAGAATAAAAATTACTTCATTAATATAGGTCTCCAGAAACATGTATCAGAATCTATTAGAGGTTTCCTATTCATTTTTGTAGTGTTCTTTACCACTTTCACCATAACTCTTGCTGTTGCTGGAAACTGGAGCTGACTCATTGTGGAAATCTATCTGGCTAATGCTCTTATGCTCTTCTCACAGACCAGAAGCCAGATGTGATGTATGCAGACATCGGAGGTATGGACATCCAGAAGCAAGAAGTGAGAGAGGCAGTGGAACTTCCCCTCACACACTTTGAACTTTACAAACAGGTACAGATGCATGTTTTATTTGTTCAATAAAGTTAGAACAATGGATGTGTATGTGTGGGAGGGGAGATATTTGCTGCAGTGTTGCATAATAAAATTCCATTGTAGGAGACATTAATTCAGAAATCTAGATAATACGAAGTGGTTCACAAATTTGTTCTTTGTACTAATTTGGAAGTACAGTGATAACTGGCTTTTATCTATAATAAAAAGATTTTGCTTTAGTGGCCTTTACATATTTAGTACATTATATTCAGTGTTTAGGGCTCTTTGGATCAAAGGTAACCTTGGGAGGTTGGGCTCTGTCTTCATGAGCACTTCAGCCATTCCATGTATTTATTAAATGACATTTTTTTTAATTATTAATTAAAAAGTCAATGAGATTAGGGATGCACTGGGACTGCGTCAGGACTAATCCATACCTATTAGACGCATCAGGTATTGCCAATATGTGACCAATCTACATCTGATACTTACTTATTTCGTTTTTGGCTCTGTAAAAAGAGCTCTTGTTTCTTGTTAAATCAATTTGTACAATCAATCACACATCAGATATTTCCCATTTCAAATGTGTGTTTGTGGCTTTCAAGCTGAACGCTAACACTGCCACTCAGTTTTTCTGCCACTCAGTGGGTGTGAGCTTAGTGACTTCCGCCTGCTGTGATGTCATGCGCATGTCCTTTGCAGTACAAGGAGCGTAAGAACATCAGATAAGATGGTGATGATCTGGAAGTATTTAAAGATTTTAACAACTAGTATCACAGAGATTTGCAATCTTTGTAAACACATGTTTTGAGAGGCAGCAGTAGTGTTAAATGGAAAATCTCAGTAAACAAAGCACATGCAGTTGTGCAAGACAATGTGAGTAATATGGGGGGGGGGAAAAAAACAAATAGATGATTTGGGAGTCACTAGCTTTGGCTGTTTTGGTCATTTGCTGCAGCCTGTGATATACGACAGGCTGCTATCATGAAAAATGTGACTGTTTCTAGTGGGAGAAAAATTGTTGGACATTTTAAGCATTTGCCACTTGTGTAAACTTTTCTTGGAATATATTCAGATTGAACTGCAAATGCCTCATACACATGGGGGGTATTCCATGAAGCAGGATTAAGGGAAAGTGACTTATTTAGACAAGTCAGTCTTTCTTAAGTGAGTGTTCCGTTCCATCAACGTGTCTTAAATGAATCCTCGCTGAATTGAACAGAACAGATTCCCAAAAGATCGTTCCGTCGGACGAAATTCCGCGATCTTATTATTCATGTCATGTAATCTGTTGAATTATATGTCCTCATCTGACATTATATTTGAATTTTTTTGTTAATCAGATAATGTAAATCTGTAAGGTGTACCAAAATGACATGATTTTGTTTGAGTTTGTGGGAGAATGAGTCTTGTGTATATATGTATATAAAAAATGGAACCCTGTAGTCAGTGCTGTGAGTAAAAGCAAGATGAGAAAGCAGAGAATAAAAGCCATCTTTTCTGAAGTAAAGCTCTGCGCGATACTTCCATAATATGGAGAACTGAGCTGAGATTGCTACATAATCAATATAATAAAGCCTATAAAATCATGTCTTAGCATTCCAATTAATTCCAAAATAATTACAGTAAAATCCTGTTATAGTGGATTCTCTTATAACCGAATATCGTCTATAATGGACGAGGTCTGCTGGCCCCGGCCGTGCGCCTTTACAAACATGCAGAAAAAGCATTGGATATAGCGGACTCGCATATAACGGAATTTTGCTTATAATCGACAAACAATTTGGACCCCAGGGCCGCTTTTAGCTGTATTTCTGTTTGGCTATAACGGACATGCAGTTTCGCGTACAAGGTGTGTGGCGTGCCGGTGATATCCAGCACAGATACGTACGTAGTCGGGATTATTAACTCTTTCCCTGTCGCCGCCTAGTGGTTCGGACGCATACGTCCAAATTTTCAATAAAAAAAAATGACGTTCAATAAAAGAAACAAATGTATCAAATCAACCAAAA